CCATCAACGTTGTGCGCGACCGTCCTGCGGGGTGACAGGCGGTGGCGGGGACGAGGTACTCAAGATGTCAGCGGGTAGCGGGTGGTGTAGCGGGGAAGGGAAACACTTCTCTTCGTGTGTAGCCGTGTGCTAGAATGACGCGCTACCTCGCCCCCGCCACTGTCTGTCACCCCGCGGGACGGTCGCGCACGAGATTGCCGGGTTATAACATAACTGATAGAGAGTAGCTTGCTCAAATAACAATTTATTTTCTTTATCAGGAAATCATAAAAAATGTTTACAGAAGTGAGTATAATATTAAGATACCTAAAACTACAAAGGAATCGTTTTTGAAGTGAATCTTTTCTCTCGCCGTCCAACAATCGGTGGAAGGGTCTTTTTGATAATGGGACGGAACTGTGTAACAGGAAGTTTTAAGGTCATAGCTCGTTAGAGTTACCCGACACCTGGCCGCACCGATTAGTATTCGTTCTATGAAGTACTATGGGTATACGCTCACTACTTCAACTCCGCAGCGCCTCGCCCGCAAGCTAAACCACACGAGGATGGCGAGTGGAAATCAGTGACCGCGCGCTGTCCGCGAGTGGTTCACGTGCGAGGAGGATGCATCGCCGCTCCCCCTTGAAAGTGTCTGTCATATCGTTTTCTGGTTAACAATTCTGTGTCCGCCCGAGGACCACCCGACGACCACCCGTCGATACCGAGTGGCCACAAGCCGCGGGCGAGACGCTCCGGAGTTGATGTAGTGAGCGTATACCCATAGTACTCGATACAAAGAATACTAACCGCTCGAGGCGAGACAGCGCTGGTCGGGTGTCGGTTACCTACCGCTAATGAGCATTTAACCCAACAAGTAAACGCGGTACTAGAATTGTTCGTCAGATAGTACACGTCATTAAAAATGAAATAAAAAAAAAAGTCGAACAATTCTGTGGTGAACACGATCATTTGTTCTGTGTCTACGTATAATTTATCTGTAATATGGATTTAGAAAAATATAAGTATATTTATCAGCAGCCTGGCAGTCTATTACTAAAACACAGGCTCTGTCAAGTTAGGGATCAGACTGCCGTGTGTGAGAAGTGTGAAGTTAATATTATTTGTATATGCGACTAATGTAAGGATCAATCAATTTGTATCCTTAAAGACCAAATATAATAATAATAATTTATTTCAGGTATAAACCCATAGACAAATCATAATGTTACAGAATTTCAAAATATCAAAAAAATATAATCATTACCATATTTTTTTACAATAAGTACAATATAATACGTCATTTACCATAACAAATAACATATGATGTATGGGCAACTATGAAAAACCGCCAGGACAATTGAATTTCCTGTACTTCAGATTCTATTCATAAATGAAGCATCTCTCTTTCTCCAAAGAAGTCGTCTACCCTGTTCCCGGCGAACATGCCAGAAGCACTACACTGCCACGGCATGTTCAGCATGACTTTAAAAGCGTTTTTAAGTAAAATAAGGTATATTATTTACTAACTTGGTAATTAGCATGAAGGTGTAAACAATAACCAATTAAAAATTTAGTTAGTTTTCAACATAGGGTATTCTAGTAATTTCCCCTGGGGACGGTTGTTAACCGTTGTAGCTCATAATAGTTACTTACGTAGGATGTTATAGGAAACTACTGGTAGTGTTATTTGGGATTACAGTTACTTAGGGAAAGGGGGGCGAAAACTCAACATTACAATATCGAAATAGAATTTTTGAGATAACAAAAGCCAACAAGGCAGTACTTAATCTTTTTTTTGTTGTTTGCGACTTCCGCTTACGATGAAAAACATACTACAATACCTTTCGAACGAAGACACGCAGTTATTATACTATTAATTCTGCATCGCGCAATGGATGTTCTCCAATACATCAACAACCTTTTGATGTCAGTTAGCCTGTTTAAACCTTCCATAGTTTTTAGGAACTTAACACCAGTTCCTTTTACTATTTAACCGACTTTAAAAAGAAAGACTTTAATTCGGATGTATAAATCAATATAATAATAATAAATATATTTATTTCAGACATTAGTCCATAAATGTGTTAGTAACAATCACCTTACAACTAAGTTAGCTCTACATTAAAATAAAAACAAATTACAACATAAATCGTGGGGATGCCCTAGCATGCAGACGCATCCACCTTTGTAAAACTGGTAGGTCCCACCACTCGGACAATACTCTCAGGATGCCATTGGTGCTGCCTAGCAGTCGATTGGACATTGACGATTAATATATGTAAATTTATATATTTTTTAAATGTAGAATCGTCAAATTATGTACGAACTCGTATATGATGATGAAACGAAACAAGAAGTTTCATTTGAAGCATGTCGAGTTTTCAACTGTTTTAAACACATCATCATCAACAGCCTTTAATAGCCCATTGCTGGACATAGGCCTCTCCTTAGAAAGGAGGTTTTGGCCTACTATACCACGCTGGCCAGACGGGTTGGTATAGGGTTTGTGTCAAGTTCAGGAGCGGGCCGGCGCTGGGAGGGGTCCAGAAGGAGATAGCTACCTGGACCCCTCCTAAACTGGAAGCGCAAAGAGGGCACACCGTGTGGTTTTAGTCGGTTCGAGTCCGACACACCGCCCCGCCGAACGAGAGCCCCGGCGGGGTGACGGTCCGAGAGGATTTCCACACGTAAAAAAAAAAGGGTTTGTGTCAAGTTCACCTTCTTTTTATAGTGCTGGTGTCCTGCGTTGTTTTGCGCCCTTAAAACACTCACGGGATGAATTGGGGTAGTGACATTCCGTATTGTTGACCCGCCACTACACGGACAATACGGTTTAAAATAGTGGTAATAAATTTTGTCGACCGACAAACTTACACAACAGACAACAAGAAAAAAAGGGAGTTATTTTAATAAATCTCTTTTCTCGTCAGATTTATTTGAAACCAAATAAGTTCAGAGATATAAGTTTGTACAGTTGGATGACATTTACTAGAACCATGAACGTATATGTTACAGTATATATCGTCGGTTGAAAATATCATACGAACTTGTAACAAATACATACTTTACATACTCTATCGTCCGTGTGGTAACGGATTAAGAATACGGAATGTCATCACCCCTGTTCATCCCGTGGGTGTCGTAAGCGGCGACTAAAGGAACAAACTACGCAGGACAACAATACTGCAAAGAGAAGGCCAACCCGTCTGGCCAGCGTCGTATAGTAGGGCTAACCCTCCTTTCAAAAGAGAAGCTTATGTCCAGCAGTGGACTAGTAATGGCTGTTGATGACATACTCTATGATATAACCGATATGGTCAGGATCAACAACCCGGCAAACGATACTACCGTCTGCAGGGTACTTATAAAAAAAAAATAATTATGTACGTATGTTAAAGCTTTATTTAAAGTTCCATGTGAGGATCGAACCCACAACATTGAGTACCTACAGTAGGATAAAACAATGATATTAAACATTTATATTTTATTACAACATTTACCTAAAACGAGCGCTTCAAAAGATCATAAGCCGGCGTGTTTAAGAGACCAATAAAGAAATACTGACCATTAATAGTCAAATTAACATTATTTAAATTGTTTTTAAAAGCGTTTTATTATCTGTAATTAGCAGAATTTAACACTTTGTCTAGCCAATATATATATTATTATTTTTTGGTAGAAACCCCTACTTAGTTTTACGGGAGTGAAGTGGTATGTCGAAATCGAACCGCCTAAACCACACGGTGTTCCGTTACATGCGATTCTATTGCATAGGAGCTTTAGAAACGGAAACGACGGCTTAATGCGCTCTCCGAGACCTGGAGGGGTCTCAATTTGTTACGATTTCGTCACCCATGGTCACCCATCCATGTACCGGGCTAGGATTCCTTAACTTTGCAATTTTTTAACCACTTAGCCACAAGCCCCCTGTATATTATGTGTATGTTAATTATACTTGATCTGTATGTTAATTGTATATAAGTATTAGAATTTTTTACAACTCAAAAATAAAAAAACATCACATCATCAACAGCCTTTAATAGTCCACTGCTGGACATAGGCCTCTCCTTAGAAAGGAGGTTTTGGCCTACTATGCCACGCTGGCCAGACGGGTTGGTAAAAACATTCATATTAAATTTGTTTTATAAGTCTATGAGTTCCCCAATCTATTGAGAAGAATACTTAGGTATGTAACTTCGATGATAATACAATAATAACAGTTAACGCATATAAGACACGGTCGTGTGAACTAGGTAGAGCCTTCTCTGTAGTAACCAGATTACCGATGAACATACTTGTATGTTTCTAAATACTTACATACATATATAATAATACCCTCACACATCTCACACACGGCTGTCTTATCCCAAACTAGGCAGAGCCTGTACTATGGTAACCAGACTGCTGATAAACATACTTATATATTTCTAAATACATACATATTATAGATAAATTACACCTATTATTATATTCTACCTAGCTAAATTACAACCAGACACAGATCCACATAAATGATAATTATAAAGCTGAAGAGTTTGTTTGTTTGTTTGTTTGTTTGAACGCGCTAATCTCAGGAACTACTGGTCCGATTTGAAAAATTCTTTCAGTGTTAGATAGCCCATTTATCGAGGAAAGCTATAGGCTATATATCATCACGCTAAGAGCAATAGGCGCGGAGCACCAATGAAGAATGTTTCAAAAACGGAGAAAATTTATTACTATTGAGAGACGCAGACGAAGTTGCGCGGGTCAGCTAGTAAATGATAATGTTCATCGAACAATTATTTATCTTGGGTGGACATCGAACCCATTTCTTGGAAAGCTTTTGTAAAACAAATACTTGAAAAATCCCTGAGCGTGTTTTAGTTTGTTTAGTACATACCTCCAGGGTTCCATATTAAGTTGATGTTTTTATTTATTTATTTTTATGTGGTCCAATCCTTGAAAAAGGACCCTACCGGGTCACACATTCACCAATGTTTTTAAATCAGTTACAGAGTTATTAATAAATGTGTACTTACAAGCAAATTTGAGGCGCAGCGGGAACCCGAGCACTAACCCAGCGGTGTGCCTGACCGCACACTGGTAGTCTCCTTCGCTGCTGCCATCTTTCTTGCGCAACACCTCCAATGCGCCGTTACTTAGTACTCTGTACCAAAAGAATACGTATTAATTTTACTAACTTTTAAACTATCGCGTTCCATCTTAGATATAAATGTCTCGTGTCACAATGTTAGTTACATACTCGGACGAAACGGCTGGACCGATTTTAATTAATTTTGTGTGCACATCGGGTAGGTCTGAGCATCAGCCAACATCTATTTTTCATACCCCTAAATGACAAGGTGACCCCTAAATTTTATTATTTTCAATATTTCCTAGAAATAATGTAAATGGCAAAACAACCTTTGTCGGGTCAGCTAGTTATAATATACCTATGTTTACGGGAATTCGGATTAGAGGAGGAACTAGCGCGCTCTCGATACGTCAACAGCCTGCCTGGGCCTCCATTCTGCTATTACGGCAAGCCATTTTTTTTTCATTTTTTAATTTTAATAACTTTCAACTACCGATATTTATACCGATGCCAATGGCTACTCGATGGCATCTCAATAGCGTGTCAGTGGTATGACACTGGCTTGGCGTAAACATAAAATAGCAGAATTGAGGCCCTGTAATCACGGGCCAGTGCAACCAAAAGGCCAATTCTCGTAAGTTCGCCTAACAATTCAGTTCCCATCAACTCTCGATCTCACAAGTGTTATAAAAGGTATTTTCGTAGTAAAGTATTAAACACCGAACGCTGACGGTAATGCTATACTGTATTGTGACCAAAAGTTGAATCGGTCATCTACTAGTCTTAGTAATACTTTACTTTTTTACTATTAAAATACCTTAAATGAACTGAATTAACGGTAGAACGGTTAGGGCATTTCCAAAGTATTTACCTAACGTGAGCGCGTTAATTCCCGTTAACATATTTATACAAAAGGAATACGTAAACGTAAAAAGAAATATTTTTTCTGTGTTTGCATGGAAATGATTATTAAATCAGTATTCGAAGAAGAAACCGACAGACTTTTATATATTCCTCCGATTGTATTAATATTGAAATTATTATAATTTGTGATGATAATTCTTATAACAAGATTCAGTATGTGAAAGAGACGGTTTTGTAAAAATGGCTGCCTTCATTCATCTATAGCGAAATTGCAAATTGGATTTTAAAACCAGATAACCTCATGTACGGCTAATACGAAAGTTCGGAAAGATATTTGATTGATTTATTCATTACATTCACCAACCATGATCAATAATTCATTACAAGAGACACTAAAGTAATGAGCTTAAAACTAATTGCATAAATAATTTCCCACTGTCCGTCTGTGTGAACTAGACGGGTGGAAAACCAGCAACATTGAAAAATAACAGGTAAATACAGCTTGCATAACAATTACATATTTAAAATAGAATAAAATAAAAAAGATATTGAGTATAATCGAATAATTGATAGATATATTAAAGAGAACCTAACGGTTGGCAAAAGCGAGTAGTTTTAAAACAATATTCACTAAAAAAAACTAAAGATCTATTCATTTATTGACTCACGTCATCTATTAACTCGAGTTGTCTATTCACTCGAGTTATTTATTCGACTCACCGTTTCAAATCCTCATTGCCCTTGCGCCATAAGTAGGGCTGTCTAGGTCGCGGTTTGTCGTCGGTGTTGAGGGGTGGCGGCGGACGCCTCGCAACGATCCTGTCTGCGTCAGGCACCACGCACGAGAGCGAGGCGCGCGGCGAAGACCACCAGGTTATCGGCACATCTGGAAGAAATAAGAACTAGATTAGAGAGCTAGTAAGCTTTTAGGATTATTGAAAATAGTCCTACGCCTTCTACGCCAGAGTGAACCCGCTACGCCAGAGTGTTGTAATACTATTGTTTTACCTATACTATTTTTATGGAATGAAGGGGTCGGGTTACTTGATGGTAAGAGACTATTTGCGACTCAAGAATTATTAGTGTGATGCCGCCCTTTCAGGGTAGTTGCTGCAGAGTACAAAGAGCCACAAATTGCTTATCAACTATTCCACTAGCAGTGCAAAGCCTTCTTAAGAAGATTTTAAAATTCATATAGGTACATGAAAGGGAGTTCGTTTGTTTGTTACGTTTCCACGTCATATTTGCACCACGTTACCTTTCATCCAGAGAAAATATGATTTTGAGAGTCAATTGATAGGGTAGCAGGGGAAAACCAAGGCGTATATAAAATTATCTTAACTGCTAAGATATACAAAACTAAAGAAGTAAAGACATCTTGAGAAAATAATCCAAACCTTTGTACATGTTGAGACTGCAAACCGGAGTAGAAATAAATTAAATTTTACTTACCGTAGCTACCACGGAGAGAATATTAGAACATAAGAAGTTACGAATCAGATCGAATCAAAGCGTCTATCCTTAATTTTATTCAACAGCTTGACAGGCTACGATCAACCTTTCTTTTTGGACTAGGCTATCTCTGGGGCTAACCTTCGTTTTGGGTCTTTTCCTGGGTTCTAATTGTGGACAAAACCTACATCCTTTTTAGAACGAAGCCAAGGCCCTGGAGTTGTTTTCTTAATACTTACCAAAATGTTATGTCTTATTTGTTTTATATTTCTATTTACATTCATTTATAGTTTTATGTTTCCTTTCTACGGAAAACATTTATCAAACGTCAAAAGGGTGACGCTACCTTTGTATTTTTTAATTTTAATGTTTGTTTGTTTATAATTAAAACAACTTCAAAATAATAAAGAATGAATTTTTCAGCTTTATATTTTATACTTAATTCTATTCAGCAAAATCCGCGCTTTTTAGATTCATACCTAAAAAAGAAAGTACCTACCTACGCACTAAATTATATTTAGTACGTAGGTAGATACTTTCTTTTTTACAGAAATTACGTTAGATTCTAAAAAATAAAATAAACCCAGGCGGATATTAAACTGGAATAGTTCTGTAGTTAGAAAACAAATAGCGCCTGTGTACAATAAGATTTATAAGTAACAGGAAAATTTGCTCACAAGAAAGGAAATTGGACAGTAACGAGTTTCGTAACTCAATACAAGTTTATTGCAAAGGTTTGCTAAGGAAATGTTTAGAAAATTCGTATTTAATGTCAAATTGTAACTTTAGAACAGATGGGGCAGCTTTGCCTGGACAAGACAGATGAAATATTGCAAATTAAAGCATGATGAATAATGCGCAGCGCATTTAATGATGCGTTTTTTTACTTGATACAAGATATCGCACCCTCAGAACAAAAAAATTGCTGCCCATGAAAAGTAAAAACACTGTACAGCTCGAGGTTGTCTAAAGATTCATTTAAAAAAGAGCTTTCAAATAAATACACAAACTTTCCTTACATAGGTATATAACAGTATACGAGTTTAAATAAACGTGATGAAAATAAATGCAACTCAAAATTATTTAAAAAAAATTGATTCCGCGCCATTTATTACTATTATAGTTCCTCCAAACACCGCAGCGTGGCGCTACTCGTCTGCGCAGGTCAAGGTTATAGTGTCGTCTTATTTTTCACGATCTCATTTTTTGTGCTATCTCACTCGCGCATACTCTAACCACGTGACTACGTGACGAATGTTTTTTTTTTGTTTTGAATGAGTGTTGATAGTTAAGTTTCTCTTCAATTTATTTAACAAAAATATTTGAACTTGAAAGTATTTATGCGAATCTGTAGCCATTGTTTTAGACTAAGACTAATCTACACGGTGATTTTTTAGGCGTTTTGGAAACGAAACATTTTAATTTGGAATCATCTATGGTACCAATAAAAATGATTAAATCAATTGTAATGTTGTCTAAAAAAAAGTTTCAGTTTTAATATTCATTTTTACTCGATCGACTTGGAAAGTAGTAATGGACTGATCATTCATTCATGATCTTATATGAATGAAACACGTCCGGGCGTTTCGGCGGCCGCTGCGCACCGCTGACGCTAACAGCAGCTGATAAAAGTATACCTATAGGCGCGAGCTAGTGAGTACTTACGTAGATAGACTCCAATTTGTCCTTCATACTTTACACGGGCTTAGGATCGTCGGAAATACCTATTTTATTTAAACTTCTTTTCGATTATTAACCACGATTGTTCTTTTCACAAGAAATCAATTTATCAACGGACTGTAGGTATAAATATTTCAAGCGTATTTAAAAAATCGGAGCTTTCTACATAATAATTAACTTACATACCTATTTACACTATTTACACTTCTCTGTATCGAAGCAACTGCTCAAAATGGAGTCCGCTGCATTCAATACACAAACGTCCACGTTTAATGCAATTGTTTTTAAATTTTCTTAATGTGTCTCTATCACTTTTCACTTAATCAAAAGCGTATACTATCGCAATGCGTAAATTATCACGGTTTTCATATTCCCGTGTATAAACAAGTATTTTAAACGTCCTTGACCTTGCGCGTGAGCGCGCGACCTTTATGTGACTCGTTATTAAAACGCATAGTATTTCTATTCGTAGTATTTACCTACTTGCGATTGAAAAGCCCTACTACTGGTTTCTTCTTTTCTCTGTAATCGATATGAATATCGACTTTGATGATAAAAAATATATATATTTTATTAAATTAACGTTATATATAGCTTCTGTTACTGATAAATAACTCAAAATTTTATTTTCCAAAACGCTTTCAAAATCACCGTGTATAAACATATTGATCGAAACCAATAATATAATTATGGTTAATTTATCAACAACATAATTAAGTAGCTGCATAGTTTAAACGTCTGTTGTTAATTTTATGAGGCGTGATTAATGTTTGAATTAAATAAAAATATTTTTTATTTAAATCAGCACATTTATTTAGCTGGATGTTAAGAAGTCCGAACATATATTTTTCAATTAGTGTACTTAATTAGGAGCTACTAAGTAGTACAATAAATTTACTTGCTTTGACGTCGTTTTATAACAACGGATACAAAATTATAGCCAACTGAAATCACGGCCGAACCCTCTGTGGAAAGTGATCGTGGATTTCTGAAACCTAATCTAGTATTGCACCCACGAATACGGACAAGCTATATTAAACTTTAATTTGACACCATAGGGCTTACTATAAGTAAATGTAATATAAAAATCTCAACAAACTAGTGTAGCTGGTTATAGAATTTCAGCTTTACTGCTATGTCCGTAAAGTATATTTTAAGCACACACTTTTCAATTTTCATATGTTACTTCTTATAGTAGGGGAGCCTAGAAGGGATTTCGGGATTTACTCGCGCGTGTCAGATTAAGATAGGAGGAATACCTTTGGGGGTGACAGGTGAGGCCATCTGTCACCCTAGCAGAAGCAGGCCGGGGTGGCGGCGAGCGCGTTGCGAAGCGCGCTCGCTTCCAGGGAGCAGAGGGAACATGGGGTTCCCACACGGCGGGGGGAGGGGGGATATTATTATATTCGTATACCTGTTGTTGTAGATGGCCCGAGGTATGTCGGGCACCAGGGACTTCCTTTCTAGGGTATACCTGGTTCCCCGGCTATTAGTACCCGAGACGGCGTGCCGTTTTAGTCGGTTTGAGTCCGACATGCCACCGATAGGTGGTATCCGAGGTGAAAGAAAGGAGGAATACCTTACACCTAGTTGAGTACCTCCACCATACTCGTACATGAGCCCTACATATAGGGGGGATCGTCATGACAGCCCATCAGATTAGTTCGCCATCGACCAAAAGCGATCGCCAAAAATACTCGAGCGTGTAAGATTAAGGTAAGTTGAGTCAATTACATGCACATTATCTGTGTATCTAAGAAAAACAGACGATTTGAGCGTATCATAAAGCAGCGGGAGGGTCACAAAGTACCAAAAAAAAACACATTACCATCAAGCTAATGTCTTTTTTTTTTGGAACGTTTTTTTTTGGAACGTTTTTTTTTTGGAACCTTTTTTTTTGGAACGTTCTTTTTTGGAAATTTCTTTTTTATTTTGAGGCAAACAATTGAAGAAATCTTCTTTAAATGTCTACATAATTTTTCGTGCCTTTATTTCTCACATTAAAAAACAGAATCGTCATTATTTAAAATACCCTGCAAAATTATCGTCAGATTTTTGGCTAGTATGACAGGAACATCAAACTGAACCGTCTGTATAAAATCTAGCACTGGCAGGTATTTCTAAATGGCGATTTTTCAAATTTGCAGATTGCATTTTCGATAATTCGCTACCAGCTTGGGTCACTTTAAAATCGTCAGACCTGTTATTGGGAGCATTTTTGAAAACATGTAGAAACTAGAACATGTAGAGGACCTACCTATCTGACTTTGAAACGAAGTTTAAGAAAAAAACATTTATTTTGTATAAATTGGTTATTTTGCTTTGTTTCAAAGATTTCAATTTAAATTTAGTGATTATGAATTATATATCTGGTGATAAAATAAAAATAGCTTCATAACTCCATTGTTTTACGAAAAAGGTTATTGACATTGTGTGAGTTACGCCAATACAAAGTTGTTTCGTCTTGAAAAGTGTAAAACGTCAAACGGTACCTCTTAGATTAAATGGACCATAGGTTTGCCAAATATGATTATGTGCGCCATTTTGTTTATAAAGAGAAACCAAGAATTTTCTTGAAATTTTTATGTGTTTTTTTTATGATTTAGACAGAACAGACGGCCCACCTGATGGTAAGTGACTACCGCCGCAAATGACACCTCCTCCTCCTCCACCTCAAGAGTCACAATTGCGTTACCGCCCTTTCAATCCCTCTCTCCAGAATCAGAGGGAAAAGGAGACCTCACTGAAAGAAGAAGAAATACTTCGTGGTATCACTCCGGTCGAGCCTGGCCCATATGTGCCAAGCATAGCTCCTCCACGATTTTTTTTTTAGATATTTCTATGTAACGATAAACTGTTCATCATCTGCATACCACTATCCTAATTTTATTGGGGGTCAGCGCATTAAGTATGAGCCTTCCATTCTTTATCATTCTTCATCTCACTGTTCCTAGCCTTATCCTCACTCACACAGTCCATCAACCTTTTCTTTACCCTTTCTCTTGTACCCTTAAACTCCCATACCTAACACTTTCTTTGCCACGTTTTCCTCATCCCTCCGCATGACATATCCAATTGTTATTGACTGATTGATAAAGACAAAATAATAATAAACTGTTGACATTAATAAATACAGATATATTATTTATCTTCTATGAAATCTTCACGTAACAATGGTACCAATAAAATGTATTTCAGAGAAATTTTACGAGTGATTTCCTCCACAATACAGATTATTATGTCTTGTTATATTTAATTGTGTGAGGAAATTGTGG